TGCCAGTGTTGAGATTACAGCACCCAAACTCAAACAAGCATCTTCTGTCACTTTGTAAAATATTCCCTCCTTCTCCCCAGAGTATTGGTTATATTTAGGGAGAAAAAAAATCACTGCACTGGAGAGAGAAAACTGTATAACTTAGGAACAAGTGGAATGATAACAAAAGGGGAAGGAGGGTCTGCTCGTGTTTGAAAGCAACTTTATTTTTCTATATTTAAAGCCTTTCCTTCCTCTGTCTGTCTGTCTCTCACCTCTGCTCCCTCCCACCCTGCAACACACGCCTCTTTCCCACTTCTAATGTTTTTTTATATTCACGGCTTGACCAAATTCAGTGGCATTACATTCAGCAGGTAGGAGGTACTGAAGATTTTAAGGTGAGATTTGAGGCATACACAAAAAAGGACTCACTGATCTATTCCCACTACTAAAGATATGGTGATATAATTCTCCCAGTGACTATATTCCAGTATAGGAATAGAGACAGGGTATTATAAATAAATGATCATGTGCCCACAGAAATGTGGATTGCTTACATTTGGAAACAATAAGCTGTTTGGGTCTTTCTGAACAGTCAGAAATTATGTGTTGAGGATTTCAGAGGTGACTATGAAAACAGCTCTAAAAAGATACTACAGGTCTAGAAGTAAATATTTGCAACATGATGGACAAAAGATTGACTTCTATCTAGAGCAGTGGTTCTCAACCTTCTTTGACTAAAGGCACCACGGAATAAATTTAAGGTACCCCTTTGAAAACTAGGAGCTGCCATTTTCCCTCTTTTTGACTACAGAAAAATTAAAGAGCAGTTTTCTGTTGCAAACTACTCAGTAAGACCACAACTATGGATTTCGATTTGAAATCTTTGGGTTTATCCTGTGAAACTTGTTTGCAAACCTACCAGTGCTAATATTATGTGGCATACTACAGCAGGCTTAAAATCATCCCATGGAACCCTAGGGTGCTGTGGCACCCTGGTTAAAAATCCCCAGAGCTTGACAAACCAAGGATGCACAGTGCCTAGGTCACTCACCACTGGAATCCAGCTGCAGCCCTACCTGCAGCAGGTGACACACACTACACAGCAGTAAGGAGGTTGGTCTGGCACTTACACACTCAGATGACACATGCTGTGCTGACAGTGGTTACAAGCACATGTAGGTGTCCCTGGAGAGGAACGCTGGGCCCAATTTGTTGCTACCCTGTACATTGTGTGGGTGCTTATGCCTAGGTCAAGGGAATGCAAATCATCTGTCTTCTCTTACAGCATTTTGCAGTCTGTCTTGATGGAGTAAGTGCCTGTGCCAGCTGCAGGCAACCATGGATGAGGCTATTGAATCCAGTGGAAGAGCATGACAAGGCACTATTGTAAATGCATGCAGCTATCGCAGAACCAAGCCCTCCCCTACCCCTCAGCAAATAGAATTTTGCACCGTTTCACACTAAAATGCTTTGACACTCCCATTTCACAGGTGTTGGTTGCAGCCATGTTGGTCTAAGGACATAGGCAGACAAAGTTCTTAAGGTAAATCTGATATATTTTATTAGACCAACTAAGAAAATATATCAGATTTACCCTAAGATCCTTGACACTCCTGTGGCCTTTGTGAATGGGTATGGACAAGATAAAGTGAGCAAAAATTATGCATTTAAATTTTGTGAAATTTATGCTTAGGAAATCAGGGAGTGATGGTTTCCTGAGATATAACTCTGCACATATAATTCAGTTCTCATCTTCAGCTACCTGTCCTGCTAATCCAAGCTTGGAATCTCCAAGCATTTGCTATTTTACCCCATCCCTACCCTGCAGCCCCTTGCTATCCTAGCCTGGACTCCCCCAAATAGCTTTATGAGTACCCCCAATATGCCCAGCAGGCCCCCACATAATCCATAGGAAGAGAGGACTGGAAGGGATTTCTCAAGCCATATGATCAAGTCCCTTGTGTTCACAGGCAACCCTGTAAGAAACCGGTCAAAAAATGCCCAGTCAGTCTGAGACACCGTAGTCACAAATTACTCAGTAATAAATACCTCCTATGTGCTTCAGGAACACAGCACAAAAGCACCATGCACAATTGTGGGAATCCCCAGAGAATACTGTCTGGCTGTATCAGTCCTGACCTACAAACCCCCCACTATTTCCCCTTGGGAAACACTGCATGCTGTGTCCAGTGCTACCAAAACTTTCACACGTTGCCGCCATGGGCATAAAACAGAGACCCATAAAACTCACCTGTGAGCAGAGATAAGGTCTAAATGTCAGGCATGTTTCACATCAGAGAAAAACCCCAACAGAGAGACAGCCAGAAAAGTGCTGCAAGCCCTGTCTGAGTCCATCTATAGGCTGAAGATCTGAGGCAAAAGGACAGAGAAGCAGTAGAGAGAGCTGCAGGGGGAGGAGAAATGTACTGTACCTTTTCTGCTGCAGCAGGTGAATTTCCTCAAGGCACCAGTCCCAGGACTTCTTGCCCTGTATTCTGGGACACAGTCCATTCCAGATCTGGTTGAAGAGCTTGCTGTCCCCAAACAGAGGCACCCCCATTTCTTGTGCTCTTCTTTTCTCCTTCAGTTGGGGCAACCTTCAAAGCCCCAACACAAACCAGCAACACCAACCACCAGGATTTGGGAAGTCTCACTCAGAAGCCTCCTGTTTCTCCACAGGGATTAGCACTCTTCTCCAAGGCTCTTACTCACAGAGGCTTGTCCCCAGTTGCATCAATTTCCCAAGCAACCAGGTAAAAAGCAAAACTGGCTAGAAGGTCATCCTGAGGCTTGACAAGCAGCAGAATAAAATGACACTAAGCAGTAATTTAATCTTCAAAATAGCCCAACCCACAGGTGTGTCTTATTTGGAACTAGCTGCCTGGGTGCTTATCTCTCAGGTGGAGTGACCCTGCACGGCCACAGGGGAACGTGTAAGTCCTGAGCTCCTAATACTTTTCAGTTTCTAAGATCTATGATTCTGCGATAAGCATCCACCTTATCTACTCTTGAATCCCACTGGCAGGGTGCATCAGACCAAAGGGACCTGGAAAGACAGACTGACACAGGGCTGGATAGGTCACACAGAGCACCATCTAGCTCTGTGAACATGTTACAGTGTGTCCAGAGTCTTACTGCCTGGCTGGGAGGTGGGGCAGAGGAGGACACACCTCCCAGCTCACCTCTCTACAAATCACATCAGGCTGTTTTGAGATGGCTCCTTCCCCCTCCTTCACACACACGCATGCTACACCATCCCTGATCTATAACTTGCATAGAAGTCAGAAGTGTTTACAGCCATTGCCCAAGAAATTTTGCACTCCCTCGCTTCCCTTTTTTCCATTCTTGGTGCATTCTCTCTTACTTGACCTTGACCGACAGGGAAATGTATTGCAAAGGGATAGGACATTTATCGCTGAAGCTTCTTAGGGTCTTATAGAGCAGTCAGCAGGTCAGGGATGCTGCCTCCAGAACGGATTGGTAGGAACTGGACCCAACTGGAAATCCTGGTCTTGCTCCCACTAACAGCAATGGAACCCACAGTCTACCTGAGCAGCCCTCCAGTTGTAATGAAAGGGAGCTTTGCTTGAGTACAATCTCCAGAATTTGGCCCTGGGGGACATGGGGCTAGATAAGAAGTTGAGAGTAGAAACCTAACACAAGCCACCCTGAGGAAGAGAGGAGTGAGAAAGAGTGAAACAGGCAGGGGGAAGGGAATCCATCCTAGATGGCCGGTATTAAGAGACTGCCTTGGTTTGCAGAATTAGGATCCTGATCTAAAATTCACCAAGCTCCAGCTGACTCCCAATCCAGGATTTTGATCTTTCCATTGCAGAGGTTATGGTACCATAGGCTGGAGAATGCACAGCAGGGGCTGACTTGGTCCTGGCTGAGAGGTGACACAACAGGTCTGTTCCTGCAGTCTGTGGCAGAAGTACTGAATCTCCCTCTCACTAAAGGTGGTGGCACTGCGCAGATAGGCCAGCAGGCAGTGCCAATCAGGACAGACAGGCAATCTGCCACAGGGCAGAGGTAGGCTTTGGATGCAACCTATCTGTGTACCCACTCCCATTCCCAAGGAGAGAATGAGGAAGAGGACTGAGCCTGGTTCAAAATGTGATCACTTCGGCGACTGAGGTAAAAGGATCATTATAAATACCTGAGGGGACACATAGGTAAATGGTAGGATAGCTGCTCTCCCCAGCCTTTCTGCTGGGCTTCACATTTTTTGTGCATAGCTGTCATTCCCCCCTCCATCAGGGGCATTGTGATATCTATCTGCTATCAAGCAGAAGGACTCTCCTGTGCAAAGGTCTTGAGTCCAGATTACACAGCAGCTTTCTAGGCATATTGTAAAGGCACTAAAGGCAAGTAGGGAATGTGTCTCTCTCTCCTCATCTCTTTTTTTGGCGCCTACCTTCCCTCCACCAGCACTGTGGTGTAAAAGTGTATAGCCCAGGATGAGAGAACGTCAAGCTGTAAGCAGTTCTCCTGTGCAGACCAACTGCGTGGAGGGTGGGCAATGAAGCACAAGTGCCATTCCTCACCAGAGCAAAGGGGGTTTGTCTTTGCAAAAAGTACAGCCATAGGGGAGGGAATGGCTGCCAGCCCCTCTTCCTGCCCTGTGAACAAGGAAAGGCGAAGCTGTTCCTTATACCTTTGTGCTCTGCCCCTCTGCAGCTGCAATGCAACTATGAGTGGATTAGGATATGTACACAGTCTGGAGATGGCAGGCACATTTATTAGTTCAATCACACGCAACAACCCACACACACAAACACGTGTGCCAACCCACTTCAATGAAAACAGGGCTCTTGTGCTAACACCCTCCCCATCCCTTTAGCCAATAAGAGCAGCAGCTTTTATGCCTTCTAGGGTTTGTCTTCCCTGCACCAGTTAGTACCCTCAGAATAATAATCTCTTTTTACCCCACCTGTGCTAGCCTCCCTGGAGTGAGAGTGACCCCAGAGGGGTTAGACCCTCAAGCTGCACAGTGTGTGTGTGTGTGTGTGTGTGCAAAGGGGAGGTGGGGAGAGGCAGGCTGAGTAGCTGCTGAACAGCCATGCCACTGAGCTAGCTGGAGCACCAGCAGCACTCAAGCTTCAACCCCCACTTCACTTCTGCTCCCATCTCCACATCCATGACAGGCTGCTTTGCTTAACGCTTGTTACGGCTTTGTTTGATCTTACAATGTAAGCAAAACAAATGTTCATTGGCTTAGTGATGTTCAGCTTAGCGGAGCAGTCACACAGTAAGGCAAAAAACCCTGCTCTGATGGTCCTTCGCCTGCATAGCTGTGACTTGACACTAGAGGCTTGGGGAGCAGAGGCTGGACTAGGAGCAGGACCCACTTGCGGCTCCTACCGGGTAAAGAGTGGGCCCATTGTAGTGCCAGTTGCGGCAAGACCGCAGAGATGAGGAAGCAGCTTCCCTGGGGCTCTCTGGTCTCGCTTTCCGTGACACAGTGGCTCTGCCCCGAGAGCAAGGTCCAATCCTTTTTTTTCCATAACTAAGGTGGTGCCTACCACCCTGCAACCTACCAGCCAGGCTGCCAGCTGGCCAGGTGCCTCCTGAGCACCAAGGGACCTGATCCTTTTTTCTCTGGAGTTCAGGTAGTGTCCAGTCCCCCTGGTGGGAATAGAGCCAGTCCAGGTGGTGGTAGGAGGCACTGTGGCCACTGGGCGCTCTAAGGCTGTGGTGCTCACGTTGCCCGATGCCCCTGGGGAGGGGCAAGGCATTGTGTTTAGCCCCACTGCACCCCAGTGTTCCCACTTGCACTGAGTTGGGAAGGGTCACTGTATTTTGGGGATACTGGAAGACTTAAGCTTGGGTGAAATAACTGTTGGAAGTAGCCACATGGTAATGGAACAGAAACAAAATTAGGTGGATTGGAAATAATCTTGTCCTGGGGTGGCATAATTTAAGCTGAATAATGAGTGCTTTAAACCACTTAAAAAGGTGTTAACGTGAAGCCAGTCCAGGGGTTAAGAGCTCCAGAAGTCACCTAAGCTTACCATGTAACAAGGCCCTTGGAGATGTCTGTGAGTGTATCAGAGTTGGTTGCAGGCCAATAGCCCAGCTAAATCCTGTGGCTCAGGCCCTGAGAGGCTGCTCATGACTACGCTTCAGTATATAAATCCCAGGTGCTGAAAAAGTACATTTTTCCTGCTATTGTTCAGTCAAAGCTAAATGTCTGAAGAGAGGGAAGCTGGACAAACTTGGGGAGTGCTGCATGGGCCAAGGCTGTTCAGCAGACAAAAAGTCGCACCAACCTTTATGGGCACAGGAAGGCTGAAGGATATACAGCAACACCCAGCCAAGTGGTAAAGAGTGCACCACAGTGGGTGCGTCTATATGTGCCATTAATGTGTAGCAATAAACTGTGAAGCTTGCTGCTCTGCAGTTTATTGCTTCCCGGGAAGCTCCTGGGTGCGTCATTTACACGTGCACCCAGACTGCAGCAAATTGATCTGGATCAGAGTGGCCCCATCTGGCAGGAGGGTGGGGGGGTCAGCCTGCCAACCTGGGGATGCCCTAGTCGGGCTCAATGTGCTGCAGAGGGGCTGGCTGGGGCATGAGCACAGCCAACTACTACCCTGTTGCAGAGTTTATTAGTTCCCTACATCCTAACAGGGGCACATGTGGAGATGCCGAGATGTTTACCGTACAGTTGATTAGTCAACTGAGCAATAAATGTCTTGTGTAGACATGCCCAGTGGGACATGACCCAGTTCTGACAGTTGAGCAGTGGTGCCAAAGGCCATGATGGTGCCACGTGGGCATGCATTTCAGTCCCCTCTCATTCTGGGAGGTGCATCAGTGTTGTGTACAATACAACCAGCCTGGGTGTGGCCTTGGAAGAACTGGAATGGCAAAAGTGAGTCAGTGGGTGCTACTGTTTCCCAGAGGGACAAAAGAAAAACAAGGACCCTAGCAGAAGCCAGGGAACTGCCATTTCTACATACCAGCTCCACAGGAAAGGGAACCACAAACCCATGTAAGCAACTGGGTAGAAGCACTGTCAAAGGCCTGTGCTGCCAGAACATGCTGCCCCTATGTTTCTCCAGTGCTAGGACAAATTTTGGAACACAAGTCAAACTAACTTGACATGGATACACGGAAACAGGAATCAGCTAACTTCTAGCAATGTTGCAGTGACTGACCTCAGTGGAAGCTAAGGTGTGGATTTTCAGCAGCTGGGAAAATCAGGCCACTTACCTAAATATGATTTCCCAGTAGCAAATTTTGCCTTCATTCTGTAAATGTGCAGCCCCAGGCATGTTTTAATGTGCTTGGTGTGCAGTTTGTGGTGTCGCAAAGTGGTTTGCAATGCTACAACCCACATGTGCCTGCATGTTTAGATTTGGCCTGTGTTTCTTTCATTGCCATCAATTGCTGACTATTCATAAGTTACATGGAGAGCTGACTGTCTAGATCATATGTTGGATCCTTCCCATTCTTGCTTTCATGCATTGATTGTTGCCCTGGTTTGCAATGGAAAGGATAATCAGCCTCAGCATCTCTTGTTCTGTGGAGGATGTTGGCTTTAAATTGGTGGATTGGATATCCAAAGCTCTGGATGAAATGTCTAGCCTTGTCACAGCCCCATTGCGAAACCTTGGGCAAATCACTTCCTTTCTCTGTGCCTTGATTTTTCTCACCAGGAAAAAAAAAAAGGAAGTATAGTGATATTTCCCCAGTTCTCAGGATCTTCTTAGGCTTTAGTCATATTTGGAAAGTGTTGACAAATTTTAGTTAGCACAAGAGTGTCATAATGATGTCAGAGGTGGCTGAGGCTGGCTCAAGAGAGGTAGTCTTTTAGAAGAGACAGCATGTACCAATTTCTACAGCAAACATTGTCCTGATGCTGCTGTGCCCTAGAAGCTTTCTCTGCCGTAATTCTCTCTGTGTGTAAAAGAAGCAACAGGCCTCAAGAGGAGAGGCAGTGCTATGCTGGGTGCTGCAGGACACGTGGTGCCTTTGAATGCTCTCTTTGTTAACCCATTTTACACACTGTGGAAGAGCAAAGATTTGTATAACTTCCACTCTATTCTTCCCACTCTCTCTCTCTCTCTCTTTCTGTCTCCTTCTCTCTCTGTTCATGCTGTACCTCTCCCAATTCTTTCTCTAACTCCGTCTCTCTTTCAGATTTAAATTAAGACATGCCTTTATTTTATTGACCGTAATAAATGTCTTGCCACTGCTCCTATATGCAAACACAGTGATCGACATGCACGATTGGCTTGGCACAT